ATTTGTATTTGAAATATCGTAAGATTTTCCAAGATGGCACCGCCCATACCCCCCATAAACAGCCTCAAAACCGTTCTTCAGAAAGTCTATGGGTGACGTCACACACTTTGTCCATATTTTTTATAGTCTATGATCCCAACACAACCAAAAAAGATGGTTCTTTAAAGGTTCTTTACACGTTTAAAGTTATATTTAGAACCGTATCGTCCTGCAACCCTTTATGCTGAAATGGAAAAGTCAGATAAAGTGAAGGCCTATATCACAGTATTTGTTAAACTCTTCACTCTTAAAGGACAAGTTCGGTATTTTACACTTAAAGCCCTGTTTTAAGATCGTTTCTGATTAAATAGAACGGTTAAGATTAACATTTTCGGTTTCTGTGGTTTATCATGTGACTCTTATCACTGCTGAGATGATTGTTGGTGGGGTGCAACCACAGAAATCGAAAATTCTCGGGCCAGCAGCATGTGTCCAAATTTCAATCTTAACCGTTCTATTTCATCAGAAACGATTTTAAAACAGGGCTTTAAGTGTAAAATACCGAACTTGTCCTTTAAGAAAAATGGTTTTAAACAGTACCAAATTAAGGTTCTTCTGCTTGTAACAATAGCAGAACTCTTGTTGGTGCTAAATAGAACCTTTTTTTAAGGTTCCATAAAGAACCATGCTTTGACAGTGCTATGGATAATGAGTAAAAGCGTGCAGCACATGTTTACATATTCATCTAACCGTCTCTCTCAGTGTGGGCGGCATCTGGATGTTCGTTAACAGTAAATCGCTGCAAATGTATTTACAACTTCTTTTTACTTCTAAGCAAAGAACGAAAAAGAGTGAATATATCAGGGCATTGAATCAGGTTCAGTCTGGTGTGTAACGAGTGCGAGCAGTAAGTCGCTGCCTGCAGTTCACTTAACGGGCACCGGTGTCACTAATAACAAGGGCTTATGAATTCTACGTTTAACCTCTTTAACTACCAAAATAATGTAATGTAATTAATAATGTTCCAAAATAAATTATTCAAGCTGATAGAAGAGCAACTTTGACTGAAATAACCACTCGTTACAACCGAGGTATGCAGCAAAGCATTTGTGAAGCCACAACACGCACAACTGTCACAGGCCGGCTCATAGCCTGTGGCAAAAATGAGGGGACACGAACAACAGGTATAGGTACAAGGTATAGTAACAACGAGGAACCGCCCCTGCAGGCATAGGAGGGTCGTTAGTGATTGGAGCCACCTGGGCTCAGGGTATTTAAACTGCTTCACTAACCACTCTTATCTCTCTCTCTGCTCCTCCAGGTATGATCCTGTTTTGTTTGTTCCTTTGTAGTTTTACTTAGTTTCCACTCAGTCATGTTCACACACACACACAGATTCATGCATCCCTGCACTTTACATACACCTTACATTATGACATTTTCACACCTCATTCCTTTTTCCTTGTTTAAAGTTAATAGTTTTTGGTTTACAATAAAGAACCTTTTTGATTGGCCTATACCTGTTCGTGTCCCCTCATTTTTGCCACAGGCTATGAGCCGGCCTGTGACACAACCTTGAGGCGGATGGGCTACAACAGCAGAAGACCCCACCGGGTACCACTCATCTCCACTACAAATAGGAAAAAGAGGCAACAATTTGCAAGAGCTCACCAAAATTGGACAGTTGAAGACTGGAAAAATGTTGCCTGGTCTGATGAGTCTCGATTTCTGTTGAGACATTCAGATGGTAGAGTCAGAATTTGGCGTAAACAGAATGAGAACATGGATCCATCATGCCTTGTTACCACTGTGCAGGCTGGTGGTGGTGGTGTAATGGTGTGGGGGATGTTTTCTTGGCACACTTTAGGCCCCTTAGTGCCAATTGGGCATCGTTTAAATGCCACGGCCTACCTGAGCATTGTTTCTGACCATGTCCATCCCTTTATGGTCACCATGTACCCATCCTCTGATGGCTACTTCCAGCAGGATAATGCACCATGTCACAGAGCTCGAATCATTTCAAATTGGTTTCTTGAACATGACAATGAGTTCACTGTACTAAAATGGCCCCCACATTCACCAGATCTCAACCCAATAGAGCATCTTTGGGATGTGGTGGAACGGGAGCTTCGTGCCCTGGATGTGCATCCCACAAATCTCCATCAACTGCAAGATGCTATCCTATCAATATGGGCCAACATTTCTAAAGAATGCTTTCAGCACCTTGTTGAATCAATGCCACGTAGAATTAAGGCATTTCTGAAGGCGAAAGGGGGTCAAACACAGTATTAGTATGGTGTTCCTAATAATCCTTTAGGTGAGTGTATGATGCATGTTTCTTTACTGCTGGAAACTGTTAGTAGACAAAAAACTAATGATAGTGTAAAAGTGGAGGTGTGCCAATAACTGAAGAAGCTAATTGATATTCTGATAGTAACGTTGGTAAATCAGAAAGGTCTTGAATTGTGACTATGCATAACAAGACAGCAGCCACATCATGTTTGCTGATCAGGGAAATTACAATTCCTGCTTCATAAATACTGAAGTGTTGTTTAACCTTTAATCAGACTGATATCTTATCACATATTCCATCCTCATCGTCTTCTGCTCCGCTGTTCAGAAACCTTCAGGCTGGTGCATGCAAGTCAAAAGACAGTGAGTTTCCAGAGGCCTTCTCCCAGCTGTGGTTTGTTTCGAGTGGAATGTGTTTCATGAATTAATGAATGTGTTGGACCCATTTTTATGCCATCTCCTGCATAAATTACCTGCAAAATTTGTGGGTGCTTATATATAGGGGTGAATTCAGGTTGATAGAGACACTTTTTCCAGGTCATCTCAATGGCAAAATCCCATTCACCCTGAATTCACCCCTAACTTTTAATAATTAAGGTTAGGAGTTTGTCAGTTTTTTTTTTGTTTTTGGTTATTTTATTGTTTATTAACAAGTGGTCTTTTATTTTATTTTAAATCATGAATACTTAGCATGCACCACTAAATATGGATTCACACTCAACAATATATTCACACAAAATCCCTTCCTGTAACATTACCTTTCCGCATTAAGGACAGATAGTTGAGGTTGAGACCATGACCTGATGATTTAGATTTGACCTTGAGACCTTGTTTTAGGTCATAAATTTTCAAATGAATTTACTTCAGGCGGTCACATACTGAAAAGGTCATGCACATCTTTTTTGAAGTTTTGGAAGGAAGAAAATCATTCAGTGTAAAGTCTTAAGACGCAGATTTCTTTATCACGGCCTGAAGAAATGAATAAAAATCGTTAGAGATGAACTTTGGTGTAGGTGGCAAGAAAAAGTTTAAATGACTCTGTAAGATAAAACAATCCAAATGTCACTTACTAATTCCAACATACACCGATTTTGAGGTCACGTCAACTCAGGAGAAACTGCTTTACGAAATTGTCTGTATTACAGGCATCACATAATGAGAAATCCTTTTTCCTTGATCTTTTGAAATGACTAAATCTGAATGGACTCTGACTCATATGAAACCTGTATGTTTTCTTCGGTGGAAAACAAAAGATGTTGAGCAGAATCAGGTTCGAAAAAGCACAAGCATTAATTAAATAAACCTTGAAGATTGTTGTCAATGGGACCCAGAAAAAAATAAAATGGTAAAAAACTGTCGGCATATCATCTGCCATATCAAGATGCAAAAAATAAACCTTGATTTCTCCAAAGGTTTCATCTTGCTTTGAGCAAAAATCAAGCATCAATATTACCATTGCCTTTTGGGAGTTAATCTAATGTAATGCATGAATCATACCTCAAATAATGCAGCTTGTTTGAGAAGTATGGTATTCCTTTTCTAAATGGTCAGACATCGAAGAAATCGCACATATTTCGAAATCGGAGGATTATTAGAGACAGATCAATTACTCCAAAGAGCAATGAAATAAAAGCCAGTATAGCTGGCAACAAATACATTTTTAAAAGGTGATTTACTGTGTTAACTTACTGTGATTGAATTTGACTGGCTTTATAAGCGTTTAGCCATTCAACTTCAAGTCTAAAGAGGGCACATCATACACCAGGACCTTGAGTTTTTCTCTTGTACATTCCATAAAACCTTTAATATTAATTAGTCTTTTTTTATAATATTTTTTATGTGAAATACAAATCTCACCTCGAGGTTTCCAATACACACTTTAGCGCATTTTTACTAATAAAATGTTTGAAACTGGCTGCAAAGTAACCCTGAGCAGAGCACAGAAAACACCATGAATGTGTAAATGGGAATTGTAAAGATGTTCTGTTCTCTAAATCTCTGCACAAAATAATTTAAGGACATGTCTTGTCATAATGTTTTGCTTTTGAATGTACCTTCACGTGTTTAAGTTTGCAGCCTTTTTGGACAAATTATGGAAAATAATATTCTTACGATTCACGAAATTGATGTGTATTAATTTATTCTACATTTTCCTTCACTGATCTGATCAAATGTTTGGAGAGCACAGGCCAAGTCTGACATCATGGTGGTTAATTTTACATGTTCAAGCACACACATTTTCTTTAGAAAATATTAAAATATAATATGTATTATAATTCATTTTGAATTTTTAAAGTGTTTGGCAGGGTAATGGATATGAAAAATTTGATATATTTAGAATAGATAGATCTGCTGACTAAGTATTAAAGTTTGAGCAGCTCATTGGCTACTGATACAGCAGGAACCAATCAGCTGTGCCCTATAGAGAATGATGTGATTGCAAGCAGATTGAGTTAAGGACCAATCAGCCTGCGAGTTTCATGTCAGAACTTTGTATACATTTTTTATAATTTATTTTTATTTTGCACGGGCAAGCACCTCCACTTACATTTTCTTCAGAAAAATATTTTAAATATAATAATTATTTTAGTAACTAGTTTTAATTTTACACGGGCAAGCACCACCACACACATTTTCTTCAAAAAAAGTAGGAAAAACCAATTACTGAAAATTTAGGGTAAAACTTTTAATGGAGCCACCAAACTAAAATATAACAGAGTCAAAGGGTGTTTTTTTTTTATCTTTCAGGAAGATCACATAAGAAAAATATCAAATAAAAATAAATATTTCTACTCCAGAATCAGTTCATCATATTGCTCTATTTTTTGGTGTTGTTCTATTAGACATAACGTGAAGGATGTCATTTAGTGTAAGCATGAAGTGGTTTATTAATAAGACCTGTCTTTTATCACTTTAATTCTCAGTGCTTCTCTTTCCAAACAGATGCAACAAAGTTTCACAACTGAAAGATTCACAACTGGATGAGAGGATATATGTTCGTTTAAAGTGGGTTGCGCTGGTGTAATCTCACACTTCGTACTTTAAATAGGCCTAAATTAGCATTTGTTTCTTCAAAGAATCTGTTTCTGAGGTCTGAGTGTTGACAGTTTTCAGAGCTAAAGAAGATTTAAAGGACTTAAAGCTCTTCTTTCCTCTTGATGATCAGCTTCCGAACCATATCCGCTATCTGTGGGCGGATTTCTTTGACAGAGACATCAGGACCCCACGCATCAACAACTTTGCCATCAGTATCGATGAGGTACTTCCAGAAATTCCAGGTCGGCTCTTTCCTAGACGCCTCTGAAATTAGAAGAGAAAGCGACGGTATTTGAATGAGAGCACAGCATGTCAAATTAATAAGCTGTTACATTGCATGAAAATGATGAACTATGTTTGTGTTATGCCACAAAGGGATGAGGCATTGCACAACAAACACTTCTATGTAATGAAATGACTGATATTTTAAAGTGTGATTTTTAAGTGTCTAAATACTTTTGGATCCCTCTGTAAACTGTTCCACTCACCCACAAGGTATTTGTAAGCGTTATTCGCCCCTATTCCGGCCACAGCGATCTTGCTGAAGATGGGAAAAGAAACCCCGTAGACCCGCCGCACGAAGCTGTCGATCTCTTTATCGCTGCCTGGCTCCTGCTGGCCGAACTGGTTACAGGGAAATGCCAGCACATTGAAATGAAACGGCCCGAAGTCTTTTTGCAGAAGCTGGAGGTCTTTGTAGTGCTCGTCGGTGTAACCACACTCACTGGCCACATTCACTACCAGTGAAACCTACAAACACGCGACAGGGAAATCAAGAACATCAGGAAATATATATGTCTACTGAATTCAGGGTTATAGATAGATAGATAGATAGATAGATAGATAGATAGGATAGACAGATAGATAGACAGATAGATAGACACAGACAGACAGACAGATAGATAGATAGATAGATAACAGACAGACAGATAGATAGATAGATAGATAACAGACAGACAGATAGACACAGACAGACAGATAGATAGATAACAGACAGACAGACAGATAGATATCCACAGACAGACAAATAGATAGATAGATAAACAGACAGACAGACAGATAGATATACACAGACAGACAGATAGATAGATAGATAGATATACACAGACAGACAAATAGATAGATAGACACAGACAGATAGATAGATAAACAGACAGACAGACAGACAGACAGATAGATAGATACAGACAGACAGATAGATAGACACAGACAGACAGATAGATAGATAGATACAGACAGACAGACAGATACATAGATAGATAGATAAACAGAGAGACAGACAGACAGATAGACATATAGATAGACACAGACAGACAGATAGATAGACACAGACAGACAGATAGATAGATAACAGACAGACAGACAGATAGATAGATAGACACAGACAGATAGATAGATAGATAAACAGACAGACAGACAGACAGACAGATAGATAGACACAGACAGACAGACAGACAGATAGATAGACACAGACAGACAGACAAATAGATAGATAGACACAGACAGATAGATAGATAGATAAACAGACAGACAGACAGACAGATAGATAGATAGACACAGACAGACAGATAGATATACACAGACAGACAGACAGACAGACAGACAGACAGACAGATAGATAGATAGATAGATAGATAGATAGATAGATAGATAGATAGATAGATAGATAGATAGATAGATAGATAGATAGATAAACAGACAGACAGATAGATATACACAGACAGACAGATAGATAGATAGACACAGACAGACAGACAAATAGATAGATAGACACAGACAGACAGATAGATAGATAGACAAACAGACAGACAGACAGACAGATAGATAGATAGATAGATAGATAGATAGACAGATAGATAGACACAGACAGATAGCTAGATAGACACAAACAGACAGAAAGACAGATAGATGATAGATAGATAGATATATAGATAGACACAGAGACAGATAGATAGATAGACAGACAGATAGATAGAAAGATAGATAGATAAACAGACATAGATAGAAAGATAGATACTATGAAACATTTACTTTAAAAAAAATTCAATAAGAAACTTCTAAACAATTGAGAAGAAAGTAACACACTGAATTAAATGTGTATTTTTCAGTAGAAAGACTGAAACATAATTTTCTTGTAAAACATATTTTAGTAATATTTGTTTTATTTTCTTTGAAAAAACAATTCTAAAGAGTGGTTGTGTTGTCCATGAATCAGATTAACTGTTTGTGATCATAATCACAAGTGTCTCTGTTAAACTGAAGGTTTTTGAAGCTTGTGACCATGAACACCGATTGTGGTCTAAAGGCCAAATGAAGCCATTAGAGCCAATCAGCAGCAGCGGAGGAGCGCGGGATGAGTTAAGAGCTGCTGTGACGTCAATCTCTGCTTTACCTCTCTCTAAGACCTCCAAGTCTTCTCATGAGAATCAAATGTACATGTGTATATTTGTTTTTTTTTCTATAGATGCAAATTACACATGTATGCTGACCATGAGCCCATAATATCAGCTCTTGATATAGATTGAAAAACACCTCACCTCCATTAAGCCTGCTGTTATTAAAGCACTTCACGTTTTTTATTCATTATTTAGTGTTAAAACTGACCCATTTCCTCTGATGGGCTACCTACAACTACACTAAAAGGATGGCTGATTGCCTGTAAAGAGCTGGTAAATACACATTTATTTACTTATTTTCAAAAACAGTAAGAGTAGTGGTCGTTGTAGGAGGAGGAGGTAGGGTGGTAGTAAAGTGATAGTAGTAAGGTAAACAAATATTTTTGGTTTAACTTAAAAAAAGTACGTTTCTGGCTGCCTTACAATTTTAAGTTCATTAAAATAATACAATGAAGTTGGTTTGCATAACTCAAAATATGTTATCTGAACCACTATCTAAGCTGATAAAAAGTTAAATAAATCATGAAAATATTTTTTTTACAATGTAGCCCAGCTACGAGTTATCATGGTCTTTAATAATGTTCTCAAAACGGTAGCACAAAAATGTTGTTTATACATTATTCATGAAAGCATTGGTATCAGGAGATTTCAAAGATTTACGAATAGATTTTCAAAGTTATTCAACATCGACACCTAGTGACTCAAAATGACTTGTGCAAACTCAGTTCTGTTTAAAACCCACATTATAACCACAATCAGTTATTTTATGCATTATAAATTAGGCTAAAAGCAGTGAAACACAACATGCGTATTTTCTAATGCTATAAATTATAGCATGTAAAATGTTACTCTTAAAATACTTTATGTTTGCAATGTTAAACTATAGGCCAACTGTTTCATTCTGATCAGCAGATCGTTCGAATACATTCAAAATCAATCAATATGATTTCGTTCTGTTTGAATGTACATGCAATATTCATCTAGAGCATTATTTAATGCAATAATGTCTGTTTACTGAAAGTTATTGCGGAATGCAGGAGTAATCAAGAGAGTGAGCTCAGCAGCAGGAGCTGAGATGCATGAAGCTGCCACGTAGACACTGAGAATGAATGAAGAACAACTCCGGTCTGCCGGTTAATAGTTTGTTAGTAAGAAAATACTTGAAGTGAGGAAATTCTACAACAGTATTAAAGCACGCATGCATCCGGAGAAACCCCACACAGTGATGTCACGTTAGTATCGCAGGCTTTTCTTACATGCACGTTAGTTGCATCTCACGTCTGCAGCATCAGAGCTCATTTGTGGAGACTCACCGATCCTCTGTATTTATCCAGAGAAACTAACCTCCCTCTGCTGTTCACCACCTTAAACGTGTAAAAATCTTTCTGTTTGGCCTCAACCACACATGAAACAGTCAGCAAAGTAAGTGCTATTAGAAACATCCCCATGATGCAGTGAGATGAGATTCCTCTGATGTAGAGAAGACAGATAAGTGAACGGGACAGTCCTATACGGAATGAAAATCAACAGACCTAGAGAGGAATGAGCCGAACTTTAATGACGCGCGCGCCCCGAACAACCAATCACAAGCTTCCTCATTACTTCATAAATGTTTTCACATAGGCCTACTGCATGATAATTAAGACAGCAAATAAGGTATAACATTCACCAGGCTAAAAACACATTCTTGGCTTTTGACAAATATCTTTTTAAGATCTTATATTCAACAGGTATGGCTGAATCTTAATATGCATAAAAACCATATTTGTAAAACAGATCAATTAAAATGCTAAATAATAATAACAAATATTATATACAGAAGTAATTTTGTAAGCTAAATAAATAGCTACAAATAGTTAAATAGCACTATATAGATATGAAATAAGTTGGATTTTTTTTAAATAGCCTATTAAATGTTACTTGAGAAACACATTGAAGGCCCATGTGCTTTCATAAAATAAAATAATTTGTAAAAATGTATAAGTAGGCTATTGATTCAACAAACCCTAGTTAGCCAGCCTGTAGTAGCCTATAGGCTTAATAAAGTTTTTAATAGAGTTTTCTTAATAGAGTTTTTTCTTTCTCTTTTTATTGAATGCCAGTCACATACAAATACAAAACATGACAATAATTATGCAAGACTAATAATTTTAAATAATGATACATTACAGCAAATAGGAAAATAAAATATAGTGTAATGAAAATTAATAATAAAAAATGTAAAAAAGAAAAATAACATAAAAAAAAGGAACAGGTATGAGATCATCATATAAATAGAATACAAGCTTCATATAAATACCTAGTACGTTTTGCTTTACTGGTTTTCAACCCAAGTAGTAACTCAATATAATTTTTCATTTCTATCTGAAATAAAAAAAAGTTGGGTTTTAGAGTTTTGTTGTTTGGGCCTCAGAGCGCCGCCTGTAGGCGTCACGACGACGATATGGCGCGTCGAAGCGTCGCGTCGGTCTCCAGTCTCCGCCTGCCGCACTGACGCGGCCCACAATGCAGCGCGCGAGCAGAGTTAACATGGCGCGTGCGCTCACCGTCTCGAGCAGGGCCGAAAACAACAACAACAACAACATCATCAGCGCCGGGATACATGGCGTTTAACGCGACGCCAAACCGTCCCCGCTCCTTATGATCGTTCTCAGCATGTACTGCTGATCTACCGCACATTTGTGAATCTAGGTAAGACAGAAAAGTAAATGCACAAGTGAGGAAGAGGTGCGCGAGGCGTTTGTAGCGCAGCGCGCGAGCTAAGTCTAAATACATTGACAAAAGTTTAGGGAATCACTATGAAATTAGACTTTTTGTGAATGATACACAGTTCTAAGTGTGTATTACTTGCATGTAAATGTGTTCTACGTGTAAGTATGCAGGTAATGGCGCAGTGCTAGTGTTTGATCATTACATGCAGTGTTTTTACAGTGGGAATAGGAAATTTCAGAACCGAGCAATAACGTATAGGATACAATATCAGGGCAGGTACATGTATATGGTCTCATAATTAATTTTTGGACTCTAATGTATGACTGTAGTTTTTTGTACGACTGTAGTTTTGTGCTTGTTCAGGCCTTACGTTACAGGTCGTTAAACTTGTGAAAGATTGAATAATTGTGCACATGATACAAACTACAACGTCTAATTCTTTAAATAATTTAAAAAAATGATCGCTATAATATGTATTATATATTTAGCTTCAGACGTTATAATAAATATTCTAGATATATTTGCTTATATGTATGTTTGAAACCATAAGACTTTAAAAAAGAAAATTGCTTGGTAATGATGATGTCATTTCTTCCTGGCTGTAATGCTGACCTAAAGCATACTAACATATTACTCATATTATGTCTGCAGTGTATAGTATATGTACTGTATGCATTTTTGACCCACTAAAATATACAATACCAAGCACAATGCACTGCCCTTTACCTTACATCCCTAGTATGATGAACTGAAAGTAGCCTAATATCAGCTGTGAATATTGTCTTTCTTGCTTGATTATTTAACGGCAAGAGCTTGGGTTTCGATTCCCAGGAAATGCATGAACTGATAAAATGCTTGAATGCATTTTAAGTCACTTTGGATTAAAGCATGCCTAAATGTATATTACTGTGTGCTGTAATTAGTAGATAATTGTTCTGTTGTGACATGTTCTAACTAGTAGCATACTAACTAAACATACTGCTCTTTCTGAAATATTGAGTATGTTGTGCTCAGTGTAAGAGAAATGTTGAATATAAAGCATGCATATGATTGCATTTCATGTCTGTATTCTTATATTCATATCATATCTGTAATGCATTCATGTTGTATTAAATGTGTTGAGCGGGACAGGAGGTTTGAAGATGGGTCAATGACAAATAAAGCTTCAAAAATATATATTTAAAAAAAATATATCTTTTCAAAATTGATTTAATGCATATTTTTGAGTCATGAACAGTGTTTTAACAAGTTTAAATTAGTAAACAATATTTAACAAAGTGTTTAAATTCATTTTTTGACTTTTTTTGTCAGGTGGTACAACCAAATATTTGTGTGTATATATATATATATATATATATATATATATATATATGAAATTATAGCAAAGTAACCCTTAGAGTGTCTACAGTGCCTAACACATTATTTGTTGTGTATTTTATTGCATTCTAGTGGCCAGGTATTTTAGTATGTTTAGCATCAGATTTAACTTTTAAAGACAGAAAAAAAATATCAATATATAAATATCAATATATTTAAAGAATTAATATATACCAGTAAACGCATTAAATACAATAACCAATCACAATCTAGTTTTCAGCCATTTGTTCACTTTGACCTATTATGTGTTGGTTTAAATCAAGAATTTACATGGTTGCACCACCTGATGTATATCTGTTGTGCCACCTGACAACATTAATAATGACAAGGATTATGCTGAATAGAATACTGGACCAATTACATATAAAATTTAAAATGCAAATAAACATGTTTTAGTTACAGTCTCTATTGAAGTAGAAAATGGATCAAAAACAGATTATATCACATTCGGAACGAAGGAACTGGAATAGGCTACAGTTACTAACATTTAAATTAATCATTTGATACAATGTAGCGATGCAAAATATATTGGCCACCATATCGGTATCGGTAATGGCCGATATATGATAATTTACAATGTGACCATTATCGGCCTGATAAGAAAATGTGTCCGATATATTAAAGCAATAAATAGGCTAATGGATTATTTCCTTAAGCTGAGACGCTTCAAATGCGCACTGTTCGACATGATGGTTTTGACGTGCTTAAAATGTATTTTGAATCACTTCAAAAAAGGAAAATACAGTAAAGTGTAACATGTGCAGTACAAGCGCAATGAGAACATTATAATTCTGTGCTTGGGACATGGCTTTTAATGGCTTTTTTTTTTTTTTGTAATCAGGCTCTCAATTTATATTAAAAAAATGGATTTACATTTATCGGCCAAAATATCGGTTATCGTATCGGCCAAATTTTTCATATCGGTGCATCACTAGTACAATCCATTTATTGTGCACTTAAACATATTTTAAATTGGACTTATATTTAAAAAAATAATGCCTGCATATTACATCTGTAATTACACTGTTGACCCTTCCTTTACCCCTTAACCCAACCTTAAACCTACTCATACCACCAAACGTGTCATAACCTACCCGTATCCCAACTCAATAGTAGCACAAGTGCTTTGCAAAACAACATGAATAAGTTCATCGTACCTAACAATTTATTTTATACGAGTACATTGTAGTTAAACACACCTAATATAAAGTGTGACTGATTTTCCTTTACTTGATATGATAGTGGCAGTGGCATCTAAAATTATTTAAAACATTATGAAAATAATTGAAAGTTTAAAACATCTTTAACTTATTTTTTTAGAGCAATAAAACAATAATTAAAAAGATAGAATATGCTTAAATGTATTATTTATTAAGCCTAAATAATGTTTTAAAAAAATCATATAGGGACATTCATTGCAGTTGCACCACCTGACCTTTGCAATTAATTTGACATTGATCATCTTCTACGTATTAGCTTTTGCCTATGCTATCAAGTTCATACTTTGAATATTTTAAATACGACAAATAAGTTTGATAAAATAGCATTTTCCTAGTTTTACATTGGTTGTACCACCTGACATGGAAAGTGTACCAACCTACCCATACTTGAAAGTAGTTATTTTTTACCAGTATTTGAGAGAGATCTACAAACCCTTTTCCACAAGGATCAGAATCCAAGGTGACTCTGGATGATGCATTATCATATTTATTTACTGTTATTACCTTGTCAATTCATAATAAAAGAGCCATGTTGTGCCACCCTGACATTTGAGAATAAACTATTTGCCGGAGAAAAGTTTTTCAATGATCTTAACAGCTTTAAAACTACTGATATTTATAAAATTTGTTTATGTGAAAGGTTTCAAACATAAAATTGCCATAGTATTTTATTTTGAATGTCTTTTTTATTAAAACACAATTTTAAATAGTTTTCTTTGAGTGGATGTTGTGCCACCTTTATTTTGTGTTTGGGGTTTAAGATACCAAAACGCAAAATAATGTATTGTTTGAATGCACTGAAAATAAGAAACTAAATAGGTTTTATAGAATAAATTGATATCACATAAAAAAATAATGCACTTGTACACCAAAATATGCACGTCATGTCATTGACCCAGCTGGAGATTTATTCTTTGCATTTGAAGGTCTTGAATTGGCGACAGGATATTGAGACCAAGAATGTTCTTGACAAAGTGACATGTTTTGGGAAATGATGGTGAGGACTAGTTTTCTAGCCTCAAGCTGATGCTTTTCAAAGCTGATTGATAAGAAATATTAATTTTAATGGTTGAATTTTCAGTGTATATGGAATACATGTCCTTCTATAAACATAATGTGTTCGACAATGCAATGTTCTCAACTTGACTTTGCATTTCGAGTGTGATGAGTTAACCTGAAATAATATCAGCTGCAATGCTTTATACTTTTTTCCCCCCAC